TTAAGAGAGAAAAAATAAAAGTCATGTTTACAAGAAGAACAGAAAGGAAAGTTTATATTTACAATATTATGAATTTCAGATTTACAATGATCAGCTGTTGTTTTTAATATTAAATGTGAAGGCTAGTAGGAAAAATTATCTAAAAGAACTGAACAGTATCCTTGATACTTTCTAAATTTCCACAAAAATTATTCCATGAAAGCCTTTTGGCCTTCCGTACTGCATGGTTATATTCTGTAAGAACAGTATGGTATGTATCCCAATTATTAGTTTTCTTAACTCGCCTGAAGTGGGCCCTTACTCTCTTCCTAAGAGAGGCAAGTTCGGGACCCCACCAACTAGCCCTATTGCTCTTGCCCTTGCGCAAAGGACAATTATCCTCAAAGGATGTAACTAAGCACCTAGTTAGACGATCTGCCGCTTCGTCAAGCGCATCAACTGTGTTTATAGGAGATGTGTTCAGATTTGAGGCAATCCTGCCCCGAAGATCAGCTCTGAAGGATGCCCAGTCGGTTTTAACTGGGCTCCTGAATAAGCGAACCTCGCCGCAGAAATTCCCCAACCTGAAGACAATGTGCCTATGATCAGACAGGGATGGCTCAAGGGACACTGACCAGTCAATAATCCTGTCAGCCATACCCGCTGAACACAGGGTAAGATCAATTACTGATTGGCCTATCCTGCTTAAAAAAGTTGGTTCTGAGCCTACGTTTGCAACAAGTAGGCCGCAAGAAGCTAGGTACTCTAGAAGTGACCTACCTCGGTTGTTAGTGTCCCTGCATCCCCAGGCCGTATTATGGGCATTGGAGTCGCAGCCTATCACGAGTTCAGATCCAGACTCATGTGCGAGGTCGGCCAATCTTCTAACCTCGGCCGATGGGAACAGTCCATCGTCGCCCTGTGGCATGTAAACAGAGGCCAGCAGCAGTTTTATGTTAGATTTAGTACATACAGTCTTAATTACTGTTACGTCCCTCGAACAAAGCTCTAGAACTGGATTACATTTTAGCCCCTCTTTGACCCAAATGCAAGTTCTAGGGTGTGGTACCCTTAATAGTTCCCATCCCCGCAATTCTAAAATTATTGACCCAGGGTTCCTGAATCAAGGCAAAATCTAAGGACTGCTTAACCGTCCTCAGACAGAACACAGCCGTGGCAGCCTTACTGTGTTGTAAGTTCACTTAAAGGACCTGGGTCATCAGAGGGAGCACCAGAGATAACTCTGAGCTGTAGTTTCCCCAGGCCCAGGTGGATGATCCAGCCACGATCTTTTAGAACCTGCACATTCATTTCATCAATAGCAAGAACAAGAATCTGATGATCATCCGTCTTCTTCCCACCAATGACGCGCCAGTCCTTTGTCGTGACACCAGGATTTTGCCGCTCAATCTGAACAAACACTTTAGAGGCTTCGACCTTGGCCAAACGCCTGTCAGTGCGAAGGAGCACTTTAGTCGTGCGCAACAGATCCTTGTAGTCTGCTACAATGACCTCCATACTCCCCTCACTTCCCAACGCTAGCTTCGGTGCCACCCTCTTTAGCCAGTCAGTTGTTTCAGAATTACCACAAGTTACGACAAGAGCACCCTTCTCATGGTAAATTTTTTCAAACTGATGCGGAATATTGGCGCCATCATCTCCAAACACCAACTCCATCAGTTTGTCCTGCAACAAGTCACATTCCTCAACAGAGAATCTCGCATCGGGATAGGCCGCTGGAGCTACTGCCAACTTGTGACCCACAAGCTGGTCTCTGTAGCTGACCTTTCCCGCAACGGATCCATCTGCTGATTGATTAGAGTTTTTATTTCTCTTGGGAGGAGGATTTTGAGAAGACCCAGGGTTACTATCGGGTCCGGTTCTACGCATCGATGATACGCCTGAACCTTCCCCAGGAGAACTCAAGGACCCTCGCTTCCTCTTTCTCCACTGTCTGTTAGGGATCCACGTGCCCTCAGCCTTTTTCCTTTCTCTAACAGACAAATTATACTCAGTTCTGGTCTTAACTGTAAAACCGATCTCAGAGTCGGACGATGCATCCGCCAGAGACGGAGAATCGCCAGCGTTGCTGGTGTTTAGTGGCTTGTTCAGGTCCGCATCTAACCTATGACAGAGCTCAAGAACATCAGTTGATGAATTGGGTGGAGTTCTAGCAAGTGGGTAACTTCTCGAGAAGATCACTGGCGTGTCCAAGATCTCCCCAGGTTCAATCTCCAGTGTGGTGTTCTGCACAGTAACAACATTGTTAAAGGAAAGCTGATTATTGCCCTCCCCAGAATCCATGGGCTTGCCCTCCAAAAAGGAGAAGTGAGATTCCCTGCTTGAGCAGGTACCCACCTGGGGTAATGATTCCGTTTGTTTACTTTCAGCCATACTAAAACAAGAAAAGCAAAAAGTTAGAAGTTTAGCAGCTGAACCGTGACCCACTCACTACGCCTGCTAATGTCCAAGACTGGACCCTTTCGGGGTTGGACCCCTCATTGTCTCCAGCTCAGTCCTGTCACAGCTGCACACATACCTGTAACAGTTGGCAGTAACATTAGCTATCTGGGCCTTGGCCGGATTGGTGATTGTCACCTTCGCCCAAGGCCAGTACTAGAGCAGCCGCTCCCTACCCTAGGGCTGTCTAGTCACGACACAGCCAGTGCTATATCCGCTGCCTTCAGCGAGTGCAGAGGCACCCCTTGCAGGCTCAGCGGTCTTGGAGGAGCTTACGCTTGCCTCTCGCCCCCGCAGCACTAGTTAGTCACGGACTATTTAGATGATATTTTTCAGTTGAAACACAACAGTGATCATAAAAATGTGTCCCTGAGACTTTGCTGCAAAACATTATTTTCCCTACAATGGCTATATTACGATAACCTCGTCCAACTAAATCAAAGTTAAATTCAATATTACATTGTAAAACTATATGTATTTTGATTTTATGAGATTTTGGTTTCAAACAATGCTATCAGAACATGAACATTTATAGGAAAACCAGGAAAATTACAACAAAAACTAAGTTTTATTTCATGTTTACTACAAATACCGGGATTTATTTTTGTTATATATTTTCTTATTGTCTTATTATTCAAAATTAGCCTAATTAATAAAATAGTGACAACATTACAGTTAAAATTTGAACAAAAGGTAATGGAATTGAAAGGCAAACTAAAAGTCTTACGAAATACAAATTATTGGCCTAGCACTAAAAGGGTTAAACCATATTATTTGATAACAAGCCGAATTCAGTCTTCTAATTAAATTTTCAATGCTTTTGTTCCAATTTAAATTTGAATCTACGTACAAACCCAGAAATTTTGTATCATCGTGAACAGCTAAATTTTGGTCTTTAAACTCTTTTGCCTGAGCATTACAAAACTTTACCAGTTGGGTTTTATCTTGATTAATTTTTAGACCGTTAATGTTGAACCACTGTTCCAGTTCCAATAGGGCTTGTTTTACTTTGAGCGGTAATTCTGAATCATTTTTTACATTTGACAACTGCAGTTGTATCGTCGGCATATAAGATTAGGTTGTTAGAGATATTTTTAGGCAAGTCATTTATATACAAAATAAAGAGTAAAGGTCCAAGAATCGAGCCTTGAGGAACACCAACTTTAATCTTTTTCCATTCTGATATAGATTTTTCATTATTTTTAAAAATTATTGTTTTTTGGAAACGGTTTGTTAAGTATGGAGTCAACTGTAATACATATTTTGTTTTTAAGTTAAAAATATTTAGCTTTTTCAAAAGGATATCATAGGTGACACAGTCAAATGCCTTGGATGGGTCACAAAACACTCCCATTGTGCTCTGTGACCCATCCATAGCCCATGAAACCTCACTAATAAAATCTGATAAAGCTTTCATTGTGCTTAAACCCTTCCTAAACCAATTTATTCACTAGCCAAAATATTATTATTTTAAAGAAAACTTGAGATTTGTTTGGATACTAGTTTTATAATTGTCCGGAATTTGTCTCTCACCCTTCTTGAAGAGAGGTTTTAGCTCTGCTTATTTTAAATGATTGCGAAAAATGTTTGTTTGAAAAGATTGATTTATAATTATAGATAAAGGTTCAGCTATCAAATTTGAGAAATTTTTTATCATATTGATAGGAATACTGTTTTACCCATACAGCTGACTTTTTACTTTTGAGATATTTCATATTATTAATAACTTCTTCTATACTCTTACAAAACTGAATTCAAATGGGTTAGGTTGGTTAAATTTATAGGTTAAATTGGAATTTTCTTCATAATTATTAAGCCCATAATATAATGCTTTAATATACTAAATTATTAGTTTTTTTTAAGACTGCACTAGAAAATAAAAATAAATGAATTTGAATACAGTTTTAGCTCTCAGCCTATGAACAACTGTGTAATGTAGTAGCCCTACTGCATTGGGCCTAAATTATTAAGCGCATTAGCGCATTAAAATAAAAACATTTTATATCTGGTTTCCATCCACAATTTTACTTATAATTCAGATAACTCTAACCAACACGTAGGGTCCCACTTAGAATTTTAAAAATAGCTAATTAGAAAGAGTCTAGGAGGCTTGTAGGCCGCCCACACAGAGAAGACACTGAAAATACTCAAAATGTAAACTCAGTCTACACTTTATGGACAAAATATTTTTGTTTGTGTTCTGTGTGTATACATAACAGCCCAGCCTCTTTACAAGGCAAACTAGCTACTATCAACAAATCACAATCCTGAACCTCGAATAAAAATAGTTTCCAATTAATTTGATTTAGTTGATTACTTATTAGGTAGTTTTTGGTTATTAAAAAATAATTAATATTGTACAGTTGAGGCACTATTAAGTAACCAAATTCAATAATATGATGACTTCATGGATTTAAATAGGCCACACAGATGGAAATGTTATCTTACCATTCTAAATCAAATAACAAAATAATTAGAATTCTCAATTTGTTACAGTTTCAAATAACTTTTAAGTTTTAAGATCAACAAGTTAAATGTCATATGTTGTTGTTGGATTTCAGGAGAGTAAGGAAGCTGGCCTTTCTCCTGAATGGATAACGGAAAAGGATTGTTTGAGTATTGATTCCTCCAAGAATGTGGTGTTTATCCTTCAAGAGTTTATTAAAGACTCAGAAACTTTTAAAAATCTACGATCATCTAAGAGTTTGTAAGTAGATTATAATGGAGATTCTTTGTAAAGTGTACCATTAATACCATTTCATGCAGTGATTTTTCTCTGCTCAGTAATTACTCGATAGTGAAAATCTTTATACTTACTTACTTGATCATTGATCCTTGTCGCCTTTGTCGATAACCTACAGTGTGGGATAGATTAAACGTCAAATTAGGCCTATATATAAAAAATACCCCCTCCTCAGCAAACCTGCACACTAAGGAAATGTCTATTTATCTGATTAGATTTTCAAATAAATCTTTCCTTAATAATGATGAGAGATTTATTCCCTATATGAACATTCTGGCTATGTAACATTTTGGCTTAACGAGTACTTAGGTTTCCTGCTACAGGGAGGGCTAATAAAGTGTGGTTTTGAGTAAAATGTCCATAGCTTAGTACAAAATAAATAATTAGGCAAAATAAAATAAATAAAGTTTGGTTAAAATTTCAGGGTGGCTAGTGACCTGAAAAACCTGGAAAACCTGGAAATGTCAGGGAATATTAAATATCTGGAAAAGTTAGGGAATTTTGTCATAAGTCAGGGAAAATTGTAAAAGGTTTAAAATAATTTTAATAATATTGTTAGGAAAGATCGATCTGGTGAGAGTACGTGTGCCGTGTGGGTAAAAACTAAGAAATATGTCTATACAAATAAATTTTGTGTTTTTGTACAAATTAAATTTTGTTATAAACGGCATATCATCTTATCAAATTCAGTTTAATTTTATTAAGGTAAGTTGCAAAGTTTGGATATAAGCTAGCCTGTATCTATAGATTTTATGTATGTTTTTTATATAAACAAACATAAGATATTCTTGAGATAAAGGTTAGTCCTTTTGAACAATTAGTTAGTATTAAAATTGTAATTTTGAATTTGTCGATCAGGGAAATTTAAAAAAAAAATCATGGAATTGTCAGGGAAAAGTCAGGGAATTTTTCAATTTGATTTCACTAGCCACCCTGAATTTATCTCTTGACACGTCGAGTGTGAGGGGCGGGAATTCTTGTCCTGCCGTTCCGGCACCACTGTTGTGGGCGGGAATTATTATCCTCCTTTCATTACAACAACCTTGCTTCAGTGTGAGCTCAGCCTCACACGGGGACCGTTGTTTCTGATTGCCGCTTATTATGCCAGATTTATACTTCAATCCTGAATCATTTGTTTTCATATGTGACTATTTTATCGGTGGAAGGGATCGTCTCAAATTCAGTACTTGTAGTGTGGTGTGCTGGCTAGGATTTAGTGAATGAAATGAATAATGATAATAATTACTGCAGTGAAGCATTGTTGAAGGAATCTAACTTCAAAATTGTGCTTGACACCTTTTGCGATATTTTTTGATGGTGTATCCACATTTTTTGTCCCTGCTTTTTCCCTCCATTTGGCATTACTGAGAGTCTGCTGTTCAGTGCTGCTATCTGGTACATGTTATAATATGCCTCTCCTATTGGATAAAACTAAATTTAAACATTTTCGCGCACTCATGCTCGCAGTTAATTGGCTGCTCCCACCACCAGCTGCGGTCAGCCATTGCACGACCGCAACGAAGGTGTAAAAAAAATCAAAATAAAAAATCACTTTATTAAACATGAAATGTACAGGAATACTTATAATCATTGTTAAGAATAGTATTCCCCCGAATGGACTACAAGTCCGTTTTGAGGGAAGAGCTCTTAACATCAGGAAACATGCATTGTCCATTGTCTATAGGCCTAGGTCAAACACAGGTGCACAGTTTATAAATATTGTTACGTCTAACTCTTAAATATCTATCTCTTGGATATCAGGAGTTCTTAAAAAATACGTACACTTAAATATTATTTTACAAATAGACAACCAAATAATAGCTGGCTACAGGAAATTGATAATGTATCAATTGTATAATCAAATGTATAATCTATGTATATTACTATACCATCGTTCTGATTCAAGTTGTTGTAGCTTCTAAATATGTTATCGCCCTGAATAGCCAACAAATCACTATCATCATTTAACCAAGCTTCATTCAGATTAATACAATGAAATGTGTTTTTATACCCTGAAGTGTTAATAGTAGGTCATCTATGTTTTTATTTTAGCTCCTGATATTTTGGTGTAAAACTCTAAACTTACAAGCAATGTAAAAGAGTTTACTTATCATCCATAAGAATAACATGGGAATTTTAAATTTACAATATTTTTTTCTCTGTAACCAATAACCGTACAAATACACTTCAAGATAGCCTATACAATTATTTGCTTTTATAACCTCTTCAAAATGATTTTGAGAGAAATTGGGAAATTCTATGTTTTGAGGATCAAAAATAAGAAAACCCAATTTTCAATCTATAAAACCCCGTTCCCATAGTCCGATCATGCTTGTTCGCAAACTCATTCGAATGGATGTAAGTTTACACGTTTGTACCGAATTTCATTCATATCGGATAGTTTTTCCTCGGGATATAATATTCATGGACACATATAAATATAACTAGCCGCCACCCCCGTGCTTTGCAACGTGAAGGGAACGAGAATAAAAAAATAATAATAATTATGAGTTAAAGAGAATAATTATGTTCTATAGATCTGCTCTATGAAAAGTTATTAACTCATAAATAAAAGCCCACAATTTTGATAAAGCACCAACAAAATCATGTTCAAACACGTGGCTTATATCAATTTGGCAGTTCTAATTTTAAGTGTATAAGCATTACATAGAAACTTTGCAAGCCAGCAGGGCAGAAATACTAGTAGTAGAAGAAGAATCATCAAGCCGACTAAAAGATTTACATTTTCTTAATTCGATTGATGATATTGAGCTGTCTTTTTTGTCTTAGAAGTTGTTTACTGTTTTGTTGTTTGTATTTTTAAGAGTTGTAAACAAATTTTTATTTAATTTATCATGTCACTTAAATTTGTTGATGTTTTAATTATTGTATATATATTGTCAACTTATACATGTAAAGGTGGTAATGTATCAAATCATAGGTATACCACCACCAGATAACCGATAGCCTAACTTAGTTAGCAATTTCATTCTGGGCAGTCTCAATGTTAACAATGTATGTCTCTAGCGTCACTTAATAAAGTTTTGTTTGTGCAGTTACAAAATGTGAGTTTAATTACAATGAAATACATTATAGTCAACCTTCAAGTATACATCAATTCCTACAATAATTAAATTCATTTATAGACTAATTAAGTAGTTAAGTAGTAAGTAGTTGTTGTTTTAAAATGAACAAAACAAAGCTTTATTTTGTTAGTGGATCTACCTCTTAATGGTGCTTCTGAATTGTATACCTCATTTTTGTAACTAATACAACTTCATATTTCCTAATTGTTTTAGCTCTGAATTTGTATTGATTCATATAAACATACTTCATATTCCAAAAATTTAGTTCTGAAACAAACGTGACACATTTGTTGCAACAAAATTGTGTACTATCAAGAGACATTCTGCTGAATTAGTTAACAGGAACACTAAATGCTAACCATGTTGCCATTTTAAAAAACGAGATAAGCCATATTGTATGAAAGGGGAAAAACGTGTAGTAGGCCTATAATCCAAACAAAAAATGTTACTTAGCCTCTATTTATAGTTTTGAGCATTTAGTGGATTCATGAGACCTTTATACCTATTGTAGTGAACTATGTCAGCAGGGTATGTGGACCAATGTGCTTGCGGAGCTGTTTGGCAGAAAACAAACCTATCCCCATGAGCAAGAGCCCAGTGTTTACTGCTGCCATGACTGACTTAGTGGTAACAGCAAGTCAGGTGCCCCCTGAAGTCAAAGTAAGTCATGCATTTAGTGTGTAAATCGTTTATTAGTTTTTATAAGATTAACGTATATAGTAACAAGTTTGTGTATTTACTGTTTTGGTAATTTAAAAAAAGTATAGAAGTTCTGTTTGTTCTTGTTCGCTAGACACCATGAAAACAAAATCACTTAAGGCCCCTGAAAACTACGTAAGATGATAAGATGGGACCCAACTGAATATGGTTAGTTGACCAAGATTTAGGGAGTCCAGGGCTGAGGGCCAGTTGCCTAAAAACTTTTACGAGGGTCATTTTACAGCCTGAGGCTTGGTGGTGCGAGTGCCAGTCAGGTATCAGTGACCAGTTTCACAGTGCGGCGGGTATGGGGGTGGAAAGATCGACCAGGAGGTGGGGTGGCATGATGAGCCAAACTTGTTTGAGTGATAAAATGAAACTGTTATAACCTAACCAAACTTGCTGATAGTGAACAAATTGAATAAAGGTTTACTAATCTATTCAATATTTTCAATTGATATTTGGTTGCCCAGTTAAGAAACTGTACCCGGTCTCCGTTATATCCTGCCCACTACATTCCCTTCCACTAATACCCCTCCTCTTATCACTCTTAATCAATCTAACGCTCTGGGGAGTCAAATGGCACTCGGGCCTACCTAACGGTTTCGACAGTTTATGACCCCCCACGGCAAAAAAAAGGATGGCACTCGCTCCGCTTCCCATGTTAGGTTAACTAAATCAATTACCGGTATTATATTAACTTAGGTGTACAATTTTTTAACAATTTACCAAATTCAGATGTTTCAGATGTTGCCACAGATACCAGTTCATAATACATTATATGATTGGTTACAGCTGAATCCATTTTATACGCTGGATGAATTTTATTTTTTTAAATAGAGTTATCAGGTTTAGCCTAATTTTAGATTTTAATAATTACTTGATTTGCTGTTATGTGTAGCTCAATTAAATGTTACAAATTTATCCATGTAAATCATAAATTGTGTGACGATGTCTATTTCAAATTTAGTCATTTTGCTGAGTGTCAAATTAATGTCATATTTTGTCTTATTCGCTATATCATGGATTTCGTTAAAACAAAGTTTGTAATATTAAGTTAGTTAGATATGTAAAGGTAAAATATGCAAAGTTCATTAAGTATATGTGATAAATAAATAAATAAATGCCCAGGGTTTACAATTATAAACACATGAACCTTTTATTGATCAAAATTTACAAATAGGGTTATTATTAATTGTATGATGAAACTATCTATTATCTCAGGGTACTAGGGGTATCATGCCGGCACAAAGCAGACTTATGTGATTTTGATATGCATATGCCTAGTTGCACTCGGCAACTCAGTCGGCATCCAGCCGTGACAACGGGAGCATTCTCGCGCTGCCCGTTTTTTCACAATTTGAACTGAAGATGAGCGCTGCGATTAAAAATACCGCCAGTTTAGAGGTGCGGTCAGTGACACATTTTTTGTTGGAAAACACATAAAACCGAAACTTCTCCTCATCATGTCACGGACTTTGTTGTTTGAAATTGTTACACAACAAAAGCGAAAGATCCGTTATCGGGAATCGGCAGATTTTGCGAAACTTTTCATCAACATTAGCGACTATTTCCATCAGTCAAAATGCTCGGGCGTCCGCCCTTCGCTTCATCATGACTCATGTGCGTCAGATCGGTCATTTTTAATCTGAATGCACCTTTTTCTCAGAACTTTTAATCATTACGTTGTTTCTTTAAACTTCATACACTTGGCGATAAATGTCTATCGATTTTAAGTTTACTGCCAACACAAAACGTATCACTGACCGCACCTCTTAACTGGCGGTATTTTTAATCGCAGCGCTCATCTTAAGTTGAAATTGTGAAAAAACGGGCAGCGCGAGAATGCTCCCATTTTCATGGCTGGACGCCGACTGAGTTGCCGAGTGCGCAGGCACCAAAATGTACGAGATCGGTGCGCGCCTAGCGGCATCAGAACGAAACATTCTTTACTTACTGGATAGCCCTCGTACAAATTTTAGCTTTTTAATAATAAAGGACAATGTTTGAGGTGAATATGAAATATGGAAAATTTACAATAGGTGAAATCTTTGCTCTTTTACTGTATGGAAAACATATGATAATTCAGGGATATTAATTTAGTAGGATGCCTAGGTGTTCAGATAGATAACACATGGTTTATAAACAAATTATATACAAATTGAAAAGTATACAAAGAAGATAATTTTGGAACATCTCTGATATACGTTGTGTCTAATGGAGAGTTCTAGAGGTGTTATGTCATGGAATTTGTTATATTGAAGTTTGTTACACCGAGGTTAGCATGTTGTAATAAGTTTTATCAAATAATAAGATTCCAACGTACTACATAATCTCCGTCCGTAGAACACACTGCTAGTATTGCATAATTGCACTTGCTTCCCTTGTGTCATTTATATTTAATGAGCCAGGAGTTCAATTTACATTTTAAATGTTTTTTAGGCTGAAATCAAAGAAAAGGTGAGCTTTATGGGAGGAATCTACATCAGCAACCTGTCTGACTCCGTGACCCACCTTGTAACCAATGCAGTACGATCAGCCAAGTATGAGGTAAATCTGGGGCTTTAACTATCATCTAGGCTTAAGATTCACAGATTCGGGATGCAAATTTAAATTTCAAATTTTCTATTAAATTTTAATAAAAAATAAAGATATTTTGTACTTTTTCCAATTAGCTTAGTTTCTATTTGATTTATTTTACTGGACCCTTTGAACTTGTTGTAATTTAGCTACTTATTTATTTCAACAGTTATGAAAATGGGAAAGAATGTCTTGATAAAAAAATTGTCTTCTTTCTTGCAGTTGAGGCAATTCCCAAGCTGTCAATAAGGATATGAAAATGAAATAATATAAATAAACACAATCTTTTTTCCATATTTTATTATCAAGTAATATTATAAACACAGATAGAAGTTAAAACAAAAAAAAAACTCTGTTAATTATTCATTTTTGGCCCGACCCGACAAGGCCCGAACCAAAAAAGTCTGACCCGTAGACCCCTAACATAAACATCTCGAGACTTTTAAACTTGAAATAACAAGATTAAATCCACTTATGTATTCCTTCTCTTATAACTTGATCCGTACTTTGTAGTTTGAATAGATTATTATTTCTTATTTTAACACAGTTTTGCAAGTTATAACGTTGTATTATCAGGTGGCTGCTGAGAAGGGTCTCCCCATCATGAAGGTTGATTGGGTGGATTATGTGTGGCGAGAGTCTCAGAGTCGCAACATCAAAGCCACTGACCCTGAGATAATGGCCAAGTACAAGTGTCCAGTGTTCTTCAACATGTTCATAGCCTGCTCAAACCTTCCAAAGAAAGAAAAAGAGAAAATTAAGGATCTCGTAACAAAACACGGTAACTTGCTCTTATCTTATAGCTTTTATAGCAAGGCTTCATATTTTTTTCATAAACTTAATTTTGTATAGTGTTAAATATAGTGTTATTTTATTTAACTATTAAACATTTTGTTGTATATATTTTCATTGCAATGAAAAGAAATATTACTAATATTTTATATGTATGACTAGTACTGGTCTGCTACAGCTGTGTTGTATATTGTTACAGGTGGCACGTTCACACCATCCATGCGGCAGTATGAGACTACTCTACTGGTGGTAGAGGAGCCACAAGGTGTAAAGTACCAACATGCCAGATCCTGGGACCTGCCTTGTGTACGGCCGTCCTACATCTACGAGAGTGTAACCAAGGGATACGCTGTGGCCAGCAAGCAGCACCTCGTGGAGCCTAGCGTGCAGTGTTCGACCCCCACAAAGGAGGATGACATTGCCAGTATGTCTAGTGGCTATTTGTCATTGAACTATAAAATATATTATCTTGTTACTGAATTTCCTATGTAGGTAATAAGTTATTTATGTAGGTAAGACCTGGGACCGTTTTCATTTTTCTTTTGATGTCTCCAGAGCCCAAAACAATGCAGTTCATACACGTATATATATTAGGGACTGGGTCGACTCTCAATTCCACCGATTCATGGCTTTGGAATTGGAAACTAGAATCGACAACTATAAGTTGATTCCAATAACGATACCCGACACCTCTGCAAACTGTGCTGTGGCCGTGTAGATATCATTATTGACTCCCGTGGTCATAAAAACGTCATCATCGTGGTAAAATCATGATCATCTTCTGGTGCCGTGTAGACATCATCATCGTATTCTGCGATCGCGGCAAACTCACAAAAATCTCCCCCGTTCCTGTGGACATAATTTACTCTCATGGAAACGTTGTCGTAGTCCACGATCGCTGCAAAATCATGAACATCTCCCGCGAGCGTGTAGACATCATCATCATCATCCTCTTTCACGGTTGGAGAAACTTGATCTCCCGCGATCGCAGCAAAATCATGACAATCTTCCGCAGTCCTGTTGACACTATACAATGTATTTTTATCAGGGGTCTGCGGTGCACCGAAAAAGTTGGTATGGTACTGTACAAGCTTAATTACCCCGTCATCGGTTCGGTACAGCATTTTACACGGTACAGATTGGTTCAGTACAGCATTTTACATGGTACAGATTCGGTTCGGTGCCAATTATAATAATAAATTACTTTCAGTTTACTATAGGTTGCTACTATCATAGTCAACTGCAGTTGGTTCCGAACACATAAAAGTCTTATCAGATGTTTGATCTTCATAATTTGTTACTAGGGTGATGATGCAATTAAAAACCCATTAGCAGTCCCAAATCCATTAACATTTTATCACGACAATAATTGTTGCATTCAAGTACTACCAAGAAATGTTGAGTTTTATTACTTTTATTCCTTTACGACTTTCCCCAATTCTATTTAACATAAAAATAATAGTTTTATGATGACTGTTAAATTTTATCTCTAACTCAGTCAGTATTTTCGTGAATATTCAATTTGCCGCTGGCCATTGCCTACTGCCATAAAACTGTTTATGGCTACATATTAAACTTGTAACTAATCTACAGTCTTATTTTATAAGCTAAAATATTTTATCTTTCTATTGATGAAACCAATAGATCCAACAGTACAAGAAGTAGAAAACACAATCAAGGAATTAAAAAACAATAAAGCTCCAGGAGAGGATTCAGTATCATCAGAATTGATTAAGGCAGGAGGGGCAAGACAAGCGAAGGAGATTCACAAATTGATTCTGGATATTTGGGAAAAAGAAGTGATTCCAAACGAATGGAAGGAAGCGATAGTCATTCCTATTCATAAGAAAGGTGACAAAAAAGAGTGCAACAACTACAGAGGTATTTCTCTCCTCAACTGCACCTACAAAATACTATCAAAGATTTTACAAAAAAGATTGGAGGAGTATACATCAAATATAATAGGTGAACATCAAGCAGGCTTCACAAGAGGTAGATCAACTACCGATCAAATATTCATACTGAAGGAGGCAATTGCCAAATACTATGAATTCAATAAAACCTTTCTCTGCCTTTTTATCGATTTCTCCAAAGCATATGACTCGATTAGTAGAAGACGACTCTGGAAGATTATGGAAAAGTATGGAATACCCAAAAAATTAATAAACTTATCAAAATCAAGCATATCAGAATCTAGGTGTAAGGTTAAGATAAATGGCGAAATCTCAGAAAAGTTTGATGTAAGCACAGGCGTAAGACAGGGGGATGGTTTGTCCCCATTGCTATTTAATTTAGCTTTAGAAGAAGCACTACAAGAAGTAAGACAAACAGAAGCTGGAATTACAATAGGGACCAAAATAAACGTCCTTGCATTTGCAGATCATGTTGCAATTATAGCGGAGAGTAAAGAAGAGTTGAAAATGCTGGTCACAAAACTCCTAAACCATACAAAGAAAGTTGGTTTAAGAATAAATGAAGGGAAAACAAAAATAATGGAGTGTGGGAGAGCAACCCAAATAAACAATGACAACAATATAGAAATAGAAGGGTACAACTTTAAAAAAGTAAACAACTTCACTTATTTGGGAGTAATGCTGACGAATAATAATGAAGAAGATATGGAAATACAACAAAGAATAAATGCAGCACACAGAAGTCTATCAGCATCCCACAAACTATTAAGCTCTCGAATACTATCACACAAAACAAAACTCCGTATATATAAAACCATTATAAGACCAGTTCTGTTATACGGCTCAGAAAATTGGGTGTTAAGTAAAAAAACAGAAAAACGTTTGATAGTAGTTGAGAACAAAATATTGAGAAAAATATATGGTCCAACCTTTGAAGATGGAGAGTGGAGGATAAAACACAATGCAGAGTTGAGGCAATTATATATGGACCCAGACATAGTGGCCGAGGTGAGAGGTAGGAGAATGAGATGGGCTGGCCATCTACTAAGGAAAGAGGACGACTCCTTAGTCAAGAACGTCTTTTTGAACAATCCGGAGGGCAGAAGACCACCAGGAAAGCCCAAGTTGAGATGGCGAGACCAGGTTAGAAAAGACCTAAGAAGACTGGGAAGAAGGGAAGATGAGGCAATGGATAGAAAAATCTGGAGGCAGTGTGTTGGCGAGGCAAAGTACCACCTTGGGTACCAAGAGCCACGGCAGTAAGTAAGTAAGTATTGATGAAACCACAAGCGTAGTTGTTGTTGTTTGCATAATTTTTTTTTCTTTATGCAAGCCTACTCGGTCTCAAATTATGTCATTGCATGTTCTGTATCTTGTTCTTATATTGTTGGATGTGGCTGTTAAGGTTTAAATGTTTTTTTGTTTCTTGTATTTTTTATTGTGTTGAAGGTACTTTATGCAAGTTAAATCTTATGAACTATAATTATGATAGTGATTTTGCTACCCTCATTGTAACCTAATCAATTTATATAGGCCCTCCTAAATAATTAGGTCTAGGCCTGGGTCTTTTGATTCTTTGCAAGAGCTTTAAAATATACTAAGATGGATTGAGCCTGAGATAAACTAACGATTGATATGTGCAGGTGTTAACTTTGTAAATGAAAAGACAATAATCTTACACTGTGATAATCCAAATTTTACTTTCAAAATAAAACTTTGAAATAGTTGTATCCATCTTATAATTAGTTTTGAAGTTTATAAAAAAAGATGCTCTTTGCCATTACTTCATCAAAACCTCCAGTTCTTCATTGTCGTCTGCTGTGAACAGGTGGCAACTACACTGTCTTCGTACTGAATGCTTTTATATGTTTTAAAAAATTTTAAAAACAATTAGACATTGTGTTGGTTAGAAATGATTTACCAGTTGTGTGAAATTATCTTGTCAATAAATATTTCAAACATGTTTATTCTTAAAAACTCGTATCCTAATTTTTAGGGATGGACGGGATTGAATTTTTAGTTCGGGACGGGACGGGACGGGATTTTTATTTCCTTCCCGATTTTCGGGACGGGACGGGACGGGACAGGATTTTTTTCTGTGCATAAAAAGAAAGTACTGTATTGCAGTTACCAAAAAAAGACATACGAAATCAATTTTTACCATTTGTGGCACTGATCTATAAAAACCAAAAAATGGGTAACAATTTACAGGTACCTATAGTAACTTGTGACTCGCGGGTCACGGGGTGATCGTCTGTACGACTCACGGTCACGGCGAGATCGTCGTCATGACTCGCGATCACGGCGCGATCGTCGGTATGACTCGCGGTCACGGCATGATCGTCGGTATGACTCGCGAACACGGCTCGATCGTCAGCATGACTCCGCGGTCACGGCGCGATCGTCGTCATGACTCGCGGTGACTCGCGGTCACGGCGCGATCGTCGTCATGACTCGTGGTCACGGCGCGATCGTCGGTATGACTCGCGGTCACAGCGCGATCGTCGGTATGACTCGCGGTCACGGCGCGATCGTCGGTATGACTCCGCGGTCACGGGGTTATCGTCGGTATGACTCGCGGTCACGGCGCGATCGTCGGTATGACTCGCGATCACGGCTCGATCGTCAGCATGACTCCGCGGTCACGGCACGATCGTCGTCATGACTCGCGGTCACGGCATGATCGTCGGTATGACTTGCGGTCACGGCGCGATCGTCGGTATGACTCGCGATCACGGCTCGATCGTCAGGATGACTCCGCGGTCACGGCGCGATCGTCGGTATGACTCGCGGTCACGGCGCGATCGTCGGTATGACTCGCGGTCACGGCGCGATCGTCGGTATGACTCGCGGTCACGGCTCGATCGTCAGCATGACTCCGCGGTCACGGCGCGATCGTCGTCATGACTCGCGGTCACGGCATGATCGTCGGTATGACTTGCGGTCACGGCGCGATCGTCGGTATGACTCGCGATCACGGCTCGATCGTCAGCATGACTCCGCGGTCACGGCGCGATCGTCGTCATGACTCGCGGTCACGGCGCGATCGTCGGTATGACTTCGTCTCCTGCGTTCGCGGACCTATCGCTCGCAATAACGGCGTTATCGGCACTCGCGAAGCGGAAAAATCGCCGACGATCGGACTAAATCCCGTCCCGAAAAATTCCCGAGTCAAATGTAATCCCGTCCCGATAATCGGGAATATTTTTTTCCCGAAAAATTCCCGAAATTTCGGGACCCGTCCATCCCTACTAATTTTATAACCAATTTATTATGGCTATTTAAAGTATTTTAGAGTAAAATAGGTAAAGCCTATGATTTTTCTTGACACAATCCTCGTAGAAGTAAAAGGTTTTGTTTTAATAATGTGTGGTACAGTAATTGTTGTTAGAAAACCATGAATGTAGGATATACTATCCATTTTCATAGTAATGTCAATGTAAAATTAAAAATAATGGTTTAAATACTGTTCTGAAAAGAAAACCGCAAAAATACGGGTAGCCAGGTACCGTACCGATTTTGTACCGAGAACCGAGGTACAAAATATTGTACCGTACCGAAAATTTAAATTTTCTGTACCGCAGACCCCTAATTTTTACTGAGCAGAGCAAAGTGAAGCTCTTAATACTAATACTACACTCCTGCTTTTGTTTTACAAATACTCTTCAAATTCAAGAAAAATTTATGGATAATTTATTTCTTCCTTAGGAACAGGTTTTGGACGAACGGCTGAAGCGATCTGCACAAAATTTAGCACAGTCATAGTAACCAGCCATGGGAAGGTATAAATCTGAAATGGTACAAATCTGACCACACGGCTTTTCCCTACGTGCATTTAAACTTTTAGAAATTTAACATGGGCCTTATGGGTTAACAATTTACGTGAACCCGGCGTATCATTGACCTGGAATACTGCAAATAGACATTTCATTTAAGTGAACCAGATGTAAGCCTACCATGCACATTAGATACTGCAAATAGACATCTTATTTATGTGAACAAAATGTATCATTGACATTGGACATTTAATTTATGAGAACTAGATGAAACATAGATTTTGGTTTTTGCTAGTAGACAATTCATTTACGTTAACCAGACTCCCAGACTTCTTATAATTGACTTTGGATACTGTAAGTATATATCTCATTTAAGAAAAACAGATGTAGCCTAGCATTGACTTTAGCAAAGTATTGGATTAATATGCATGCTCCACTCAATATTGCAAGCAGACAACTGCATTTTACACCTAGTGTACACGAGATGAATAAAGTCGTTTTGAATTTAATTGACTCCTGCGATCACGGAAACATCATCATCGTTGTCCGCGATCGCGTCAAAATCATGTACATCTCCTGCGACAATGTAGATGTCATCGTCTCACGCGGTCACGTAAAAATCATGAACAACTCCGGTTGCGGTAAAGGTATCGTCGTCTTCCACGATCGCAGCAAAATCATGACAATCTTCCGCACCCGTGTAGACATCATCATTGACTCTCATGTTGACTATCATGCTCATGGTCACGGAAACGTCATCATCGTCGTTCGGGAAAATCATGAACATTTCCCGTGGCCGTGTAAACATTGTCTTCGTCCGCAATCGCAGCAAAGTTATGAACATCTTCTGTGGCAGTGTAGACATCATCATTGTCTTCTGCGGTCACGGCAGAATCATGAACATCTCCGGATCACGAAAACTATTTGTGGAAAACATGTTCACAGCAATGGCGGTAATTTTCCGATCTCAAAGTGACGGATATTGGTATTGGAATCAACTTTTGAGGATCAATTCTTGATACTGATACCAACTACCAAGTATCGGTGGTATCGAGAATCAACAAATCCCTTATAATTAATTATATAGCCTATTAGTTTATCTTTTTAAAGTACTACCCTTTTGAAATGTTACTTTATTGAGGGTCTGGACAATGCTTTGAGCAACATGTTTGTTTCAGATTTTACTTACAACTCTGATCCATCAATAAGTGTGATAAACTTTGACACCAACAAAACTCACATAGATGAAACTCAAATGTCAAACATGACACAAGTGAGTTCCCTGCAAAGACAGCCTCTACGGCCATCAGGTGTGGTAACTATTTTTACTTAATGTCTTTAACGAACATGTAACAACACTAGGAAGGAGCCTATACATCTTAAAATTCAAACATAACTTTTCTTAAAGTGGGATTTGGTTTGAGTATCAACTCAGAAGGTTTTGAATTAAACTCTGGGTCAAGAAATTCTTGTATATCATATAATGCTTTACTTACTTACTCATACTCCTGTGGCCATGTAAACCCAAGGTGGTTTTAAGCCTCGCCAACGATCCATTTTTCCCTGTCTTCAGTCAATTCTTCTCTTGCTCCCAATTTTCTTACCTCTTTCAAGACTTGGTCTCTCCAACGCAGTCTTGGCCTTCCTCTGGGTCTTCTACCATTTGGTCTACCTGTTTAATTAAACTAGACTCTTCCCTTCTTAAAACGTGGCCTAGCCACCTCAATCGTTTACTCTTTATTAAAGCAATTAGGTCTGGCTCATGATATAAGTCTCTCAGTTCACTATTTTTTCTTATCCTCCACACTCCTGCTTCATGAATAGGTCCGTATATTTTCCTTAATACTTTGTTTTCAAAAGTAATTAGCTTTCTTTCTTAATACTTTGTTAAAGCCCAGATTTCACAGCCATATAGTATTATTGGTTGATGTATTGTCTTGTAAATCCTTATTTTAGTTTTCTTACTCAATAGTTTGCTGCTTAATACCTTATTCAGGCCCCAGTGGCACCTTTCCGCAGATCTTATTCTACTAATAATTTCATTATCTTCTCTACTATTTCTGACTACAGTTACTCCTAAGTATTTAAATTATACAGGGTGTTTTTTTAGCGAATTTCCCTATAGGGAAGTAGCTATTACCGTAGGTCTCATGGTAAGACCTAAGCCCGGGACCGATTTACTTTTTCATTTTGATGTCCCCAGAGGCCAAAAACACCATTCGTTCAAATTTTTATATATCTATATATATATATATATATATATATATATATGTGTGTGTGTCCATCCGCACGATAACTTGAGTAATTTTTGTCCGATTTTGATGAAATTTGGTTTGAAGGTGTAAGGCGGGATAAACTTGAATGAGTTCGCGAACCAGCATGATCGGACTATGGGAACGGGGGTTTATGGGGGGTTTTACGGGGTAAAAATAGGTTTTTCCCATTTTTGACTCTAAAAACACCAAATTTCTAAATTTCTTTTCAAACCATTTTGTAGAGCTTAAAAAAACAAATAATTTAGTATATTGAAGCGTTATTATGCGCCTAATTGTTACGGAGAAAATTCAAAAAAATTGTAATTTTAAAATTCCCATGTTATTCTTATGGAGCAGAAGTCAACTGTTGTAGTTTGCTTGTTTATGAAAATATTTTAATCAAATTTGGAAAATACATTAACTTCTTACTAAACCACAGTACCTTTTAACATTTTACATAAAAAAACTTGTTTACCCTCCCTGTTGCAGCAAACCAAAGTACTCATTAAACTAATTCTGTTTAAATAGGGAATAAATGTGATATTTTTAAGGAGACATTTTAGTTTAAATCAAATCAGGCAAATGGAAATTCGCTAAGTCTGCAGGTTTGCTGCGGCGGGGGTATTTTTAAACTTGCATCTTTATTTATGTAAAAACCGCAATAGATAGAAATATGCAGTTTGCGGAAATCATCTATTGACGTAAGGGGCCCAATTGTTTTGAATTCAACGTTACATTCACATTCCCCTCCTTTCCCCCCTGCCCCCAACTTATTTTTTTAAATAGCAAGGTACTCCTTGTGATATATCAAATGAAAGAGCATGAAAAAAGAAAATGTTTAGTGAACAAAATTTTAAAATTGGCTCATAAATTTGCGATATATTCCCCCCCCTCCCCAGAACTTATTATTTTTTTTTAATAGCAAGGTACCCCTTGTGACATATAAAATGAAAGAGCATGAAAAAAGAAAATGTTTTTGGTGAAAATAAAATTGAAAATCGGCTCATGAATTTGTGAGATAATCCCCCCCCCTTTCCCCCTACCGATAACTTTTTTTTTAAATAGCAAGGTACCCCTTGTGACATATCAAATGAAAAATGAATTTCACCAAACATTTTCTTTGTTCATGCTCTTTCATTTGATATGTCATAAGGGGTACCTTGCTATTTAAAAAAATTAATTTGGTGGCAGGGGGGTTAGGGGGGGAATGTGAATGTAACGTTGAATTCAAACAATTGGGCCCCCTACGTCAATAGATGTTCCTGCAAACTGCATATTTCTATCTATTGCGGTTTTTACATAAATAAAGATGCAAGTTAAAAAAACACCCTGTATATTAATTAATTAATTATTATTATAATTATAATAAATAATTAATTAATATAATAATTAGTTAAATTAAATATAATGCTTTAGTTATTATAAAATCTTTAAGTTTCCTTTTTAATATTCTTGTACTCGGCTCTTGTCTTAAGGTTAATGGTAATTTGGAAAAAAATAATGCGCCAGCATAAGTAGGTTCTTTTGAAATAGTTCCAAATTATGTATGGGTATTGCAATATTGTTCTTATTTCTAGTATTATACTCATGAGTACTTCCTAATGGTTTTAGAGTAGCCTATGTTCCCTTTCCTTGAAGTGGATGATATTTTGATATATATATACATACATCCCATAAACTGTCATTATTTTGGGACCGCGTCTCGTTGTCCCTCCGTCTCGTTGTCCCTCCGTCTCGTTGTCCCTCCGTCTACTTGTACCTCGAGGCCTAGGGACAACTAGTCGTAGGTACAACTAGACGTAGGTACAAGTAGACGGTGGCTCACCCGACTAGTTGTACCTGCAGATTTTTAGGAGGTACAACTAGACGTAGGTACAAGTAGACGTAGGTACAACTAGACGTGTATCCCACCGACAAGTAGTATCACCTAGCTTTTACAGATGCGACCAGTTGTCCCTACGACTAGTAGTCTCTACGACTAGTAGTCTCTACGACTAGTGGTCCCTCCGTCTAGTAGTCCCTACGTCTAGTTGTACCTACGCGTATTTTGCGTCCTTATAGTCTAGTTGTATCCATCCTTCAATTCGTTACCCTGTTTAATTGATTACTGCACGAGTACTTTTTAATAATACCCTTAATTAAATCAGGAACTGCAGATTGAGTATGATTGGCAAACATTTTTCACCGCAATACGATGTTTTAGTAGTTTTACAGACGTTAATTGGAGGCTGAAAGCTACGCATTGCTGTCCAGGGTCGAAATGGCAGCTATAGTTGTGATTAAAATTTTCCAGCCCTAGTACCGAAAATCGCTTATTTAATTAAAACATTTATATATATATCATTAAATATACATTGATAACCTTAAAGTATTTGCATTGTTTAGTGTGCATATCTTATAGTTTACAATGGATTTCCCAGTGATCAATGAACAATGAAGTGTACAATGAAGTTGAGGTCCAGCGGTTGAAAACTCGACAAAAACTATGCAATGTACTACACATACTTCTCCTTTTAGCGAATTTCCCTATAGGGAAGTAGCTATTACCGTAGGTCTCATGGTAAGACCTAAGCCCGGGACCGATTTACTTTTTCATTTTGATGTCCCCAGAGGCCAAAAACACCATTCGTTCAAATTTTTATATATCTATATATATATATATTTTGTTATTGTATACATCAATGAGGGCTACTTTAAATGTTACTAAGCAAATCAAAATACCACAGTACCCTAAAAACATTTTATTTTATATTACTTACATGTTTCGGACATTAATGCCATGATCACAGTATAGTATATAACCTATTAGTTTCTTTTATTTACAAACATTATTAGATATTTCTTATTAAAGAACAGGTGATAACTTTTATATTAAGGGAAGGAGGTGTTTTCTTTAAGATGTATAATTTCATTGAATATTACGTTTTGATCAAAATCAAAACAAATGGAACATATTCCAATCACATTTATTATTTACAGTGTATGTTAATACCCCCGCCGCAGCAAACCTGCAGACTTAGCGAATTTCCATTTGCCTGATTTGATTTAAACTAAAATGTCTCCTTAAAAATATCACATTTATTCCCTATTTAAACAGAATTAGTTTAATGAGTACTTAGGTTTGCTGCAACAGGGAGGGTAAACAAGTTTTTTTATGTAAAATGTTAAAAGGTACTGTGGTTTAGTAAGAAGTTAATGTATTTTCCAAATTTGATTAAAATATTTTCATAAACAAGCAAACTACAACAGTTGACTTCTGCTCCATAAGAATAACATGGGAATTTTAAAATTACAATTTTTTTGAATTTTCTCCGTAACAATTAGGCGCATAATAACGCTTCAATATACTAAATTATTTGTTTTTTTAAGCTCTACAAAATGGTTTGAAAAGAAATTTAGAAATTTGGTGTTTTTAGAGTCAAAAATGGGAAAAACCTATTTTTACCCCATAAAACCCCCCATAAACCCCCGTTCCCATAGTCCGATCATGCTGGTTCGCGAACTCATTCAAGTTTATCCCGCCTTACACCTTCAAACCAAATTTCATCAAAATCGGACAAAAATTACTCAAGTTATCGTGCGGATGGACACATATATATATATATATATATATTACTAAGCAAATCAAAATACCACAGTACCCTAAAAACATTTTATTTTATATTACTTACATGTTTCGGACATTAATGCCATGATCACAGTATAGTATATAACCTATTAGTTTCTTTTATTTACAAACATTATTAGATATTTCTTATTAAAGAACAGGTGATAACTTTTATATTAAGGGAAGGAGGTGTTTTCTTTAAGATGTATAATTTCATTGAATATTACGTTTTGATTTTGAATTTGTGTCAAGTTTAGTAAATTGTCTTTGTCATTAATATGGTGAGTATAAATATAAAAGTCTTCCTTTGTATTCATTTTTTCACCTTTATTTTCAATATCCAGAATGTGCATATTTTTATTCATTTCTGAGTATGTATGGTCGGTCTGAAGTATATGTTCGGCGTATGAGGATTTTTGTGTTGTCATATTGTTTGATCTGATTGCCT